AACATCGTCTTAGAATTTTACGCTGATCAAAAAAAATATATACAGTGGTGGCCAAAACATATGCAACAAATATTAGTTTTTTAAGAAGTCCTCTAAAAAAAATATTTTCTAAAGGAAACAAACGGAACTTGTTATAAATTTTTTTAGCTCATTTTATTGGTTAACAGAAAATAAAATTTAATCCATACTTATAACAAAGAAAACATAGAAAATTTGTAGATATTCAATATAGTCTAATATTTGGTTGGTCAAAACATATGCAACCAATCATTGTGTTAAATTGTTTGTGCAAGAATATTAATATTTTGTAGCAAATCCTTTATTTTTAATTACAGCCTGACATCGGCGACGCATGGACGATATAAGGTTGTCAATAAAATGTTGAGGAATCGATTTCCAGGCCTCTTCCAACCTGTTGTACAAAATATTCGTATTTGTACAATTTTCACGATTGATTCTTTGATTGACGATTTCCCAAAGGTTCTCAATGGGGTTTAAATCAGGTGATTGCGGTGGCCATTGCATTACTGCAACATCATTTTGTGCTAACCACGATTTAACAACTCTTGAAGAGTGTTTGGGGTCGTTGTCGTGCTGGAATATCCATCGCAATGGCATCTCATACTCTGCATATGGTAGCATTACCGTTTCCAATATGTCTTTGTACATGTACTGATCCATTATTCCATTAATTCTATGCAATGGACCTACTCCTGCAGCAGAAAAACACCCCCACACCATTACGCTGCCTCCTCCATGTTTCACTGTCTTTGTACAGTATCGAGCTTGGAGCCGCTTATTAGGTGGTCGCCGTACATAACGCATACCATCGCTACCAAAGACGTTAAATTTGGATTCGTCGCTAAACAATACAGTTCTCCATTTCATTTCTGTCCAATGTAAATGCTCCTTTGCAAACTGCAAACGCTTTTTTTGATTACGTATGGAAATAAGAGGTTTTTTTGCTGGGCGGCGGGCTGGAAGGGAGGCATCATTTAGACGTCTGCGAATAGTCCGATCAGAAATTTGCATTGGGAGTGTTGCAGCAATTTTGAGGATGTGATAAAAGGATCTTTTTTCACTTTTTGGATTATTAAATTGTCCGTACGATTAGTTGTTTTGCGAGGTCGACCTCCGCTGTGTTGTACCGAAACATCCGAATTCTTTTTAAAATTCGCAATAATGCGAGAAACTGAACTTTTATGCACCTTGTATTTTAGTGAAATATTTTTTTGTGACATTCCTTCGGAAAAATCGGCCACAATACGTTTTCTTAGCTCGATTCCGAACTTATCCCGCGCCATAATTAAATATCTTTTTTTTACTTTTAATCGAAATTCTACTGCTAATTTGTGCAAGGTTATCCGTGATTAATACAGTTTCAACAAATATATTATGAAAACACGTGAGAAAAAGTGGTAAAAATACCGTTATCCGTAAATGATCGAAGAGTTGCATATGTTTTGTCCATATCCATTTTTAGGTTATCGATAAACATAAAAAAAAATTGACAAAATCAAAACCAGATGTTTGTTCTGGTACATATGATCGGTGTCTAAGTTACTACAGAGGAATATAGATGTATTATTAACGTATTGCTTGGAACAAAAATTGCTTTTATGAGTCATTTTACAATATGTGATGTCCAGTTGCATATGTATTGGCCACCACTGTATATATACTTTGTTTGGTTCAAAATTGATAATTCGTATGGTGAAGGGTAATAAAGAACAGTGTGGCTTGTTTGTTCGGGATACCGTAGTATTTTGTTGTTGCAAAATGGTCAGGCTTATCCCTTTATTGTTGTTTTTATAAAAACAACGTTTGTTTATTAGTGGAGAACGATGGTAATGTTTACCAGGGGGTAAGGCAGGGAATACCTAGGTTTCGGAAAGAGCCACCAATCCTCATCAGTTCCCTTGTTTTTTGTCTGAGATATTCTCCCCAGAAGTTATTTTATGACAAAAAACATTTTTTACCCAAGTGACGAGATCGTAAGCTCAATAGAAGAGGAACCAAAGAATTAAATAGAACTAAAATTCTTTTGGAAAGTCTTCTAAATCTTACAACCGCACTTATAAACATTTACATTTTTCTCCACTTGTTATGCTTTCGTTCAACCTGAACGAAGTAGCATAACCATGTAAGTTGGTTTTGTCTGTTACAACAAAAACCCCTTCGTCGACCAAATAGAACAGTGTGGCTTGTTTGTTCGGGATACCGTAGTATTTTGTTGTTGCAAAATGGTCAGGCTTATCCCTTTATTGTTGTTTTTATAAAAAAACAACGTTTGTTTATTAGTGGAGAACGATGGTAATGTTTTATTTAATTCTTTGGTTCCTCTTCTATTGAGCTTACGATCTCGTCACTCGTCAGAGACGAGTTGTATTAGTTCAATTTCGCCCCAAAATTTGTATATAACCCTACGCTCCTTATTTATTTTACAAAGAAGCCAGCCGATGACTTAAGGGTGGAAATACATTAAACCTCTTCGTAGATGAACAAAGGAGTTTTAGGTTGACCTAGTTCGATTTTGGCCCTAGGCTCCTTTGTTCATTTCCAAAGAAGCCAGCCGATGACTTAAGCCAGCCAGATAAGCGCTTTATGTATTCCCACCTTAAGCCTGCCAAAAAGGCGTTTTATGTGCTCTCACCTTTACTGTATACTTATGTTTATTGTGTGAAGATACTCTCTCGCAAGAAGATCAAATCTTACTATAAATGAAACCAGACATACGTACTATAAATATTTTGCTTGTTCATGTATGGTACACAAATACAGGCAGATGCATTACCACTTATGAACATTGATATGTCAAAAATGTTAAAAAAAATCCGCAAAAATAATCTGATTTTTACATACTTTTTAAACCGATGCCGTTTAGAGGCTGTTAAGAAATGGGAGTTTTCATTAAACAATTTGAATTCCAAAAATGTTTTGACAGTTTATTGATGTTGTGATGCGGCTACCTGTATTATTTTATCTTGGGGCCCATGCATGGTAGAAGAATACCGACAACAGCAAGTGATGTTGTCCAACAAACCTAACAGCAGCTACGCATAAATTTGCTTTTAGACGTTATACAAGTCATGGCGCAGTAACAAGGTGTTCCTGAAAATTAAAAAAAAAACAAGATTTAATGGCAAAATTGAAAAAAATTGATTTTTGTCGCACAGTGTAATTGTAGGTAAATTTCACATAATAATTCAAGCCACACGGCCGCATCCGTTGGTACAACCTGGAGGGTTGTCAAGTTGTATGCTTCGGCCACAAACAATACAAATTTGTATACAACCTCTTTGCAAAGACCTAAAATGGTAAAGACTAGAGAAAATGAATTTTGAGCAAATGGTTTGTGTCTACAATACATAGATTAACAGCTCATGGCAAAGACATATTAATATAAAATCCACAATTACAGAAACGGATAACAAATAAAAATTTGAAAAATCCAAAATTTTGGTTTCAAAATTCTATTCCATGGGCCTTTCCGAAAATTTGCTTATCGGTTTAAATCAGTTAACATTGGTAACTATGTTGTTATGATATCGTAAGAACAGAGGTATTTCCACAGGGTTACCATATTTTGACTCTGTCTTGTCCTATCTTTACACTTCTATGTCTTTGCTCTTTGTACAACTTCACTTTTCGAAGAGTTCATTTGAATTAAGATGACACCGGAAATAATTCCGTGCTCTATAATTTACTTAATAGCCTTTATTTATTATAATTTTTGAAATTCCATTTTATATATTTTTTTATTTATATTTTTTTTTTTTATATTTTCATTGAAATCAAACATTTGATTGGATTGCGACATGCCAACAAACATTACAATCAGTTGGTACAACATGTTAAATATCAAAAAATTTTGATTTTTTGTACAACCACACACACACAACTTCGTACGACCGGCATAGACAAATGAAAATATAGACCATAGACAAATGAAGATATAGACAACGAAAAGTTAGTTTTGTCTTTTTATCCAGGTGGCTCTTATCATGTTTTGCATAGTCAACATGCTGATTTACGCGTTTAAGCCACTCGACTTCGAAAACACATTTTATAGTTTTTCAAGAATTTCACTGGAATATTCTCATATTTTTCGATGTCACTACATAGTTTTCACTTGTCTTTTATTATGGAACAATTTTCAACTGACAAATATCCTACAGTTTTTGTTATTTTTAACGTTTTAGAATTGAGTGACTTCAAAATTCCCACTCAAACCCCTGAAACGATATAGACGACATCTGCTGATCCGATTTTTTTCGAAGATGAACGGTGAGAGTATTTCGTTGTCTATATTTTCATTTGTCTATGTGTATCGTTCTTTTCTGACGTTTCCGTTCGTAATTTTTTGTTACAAAAACTTGAAACGAAAGTAACGAAGAGAAAATAGTTCGTACAAGAGCCAGCAAAATATGAATGTATTAAAAACTGAAGTGTCGCTTTTTGTATGAATCTTAACGGTAAAGTAGGAAGGCCTTGTTTCAAATTAGCAGGAACAAATATCACATATATCTTAGAGTTATATCCATTTCCAGTGTTTCCAAATAATTGAGGAGGTATTATTATTTTTTCGATGACATCAAAATCAGTTATAAATAAGTCCTATCAACACCCACACAGGTCATCGATGCCAGTCTAGCTTTCATCTTCTAAATGTCAGTTCTGACTGATGTGAACCTTTACTTGATGTTTACTATTTTCTATTTGCCTTTCCTCACTAATGTGGCAGTACCAACATTGTCGGACGTTTTGATGAGTTTATGAATGATGTATAAATTTACTTAATCTGCATGCTAGATATTTTCGTGTCTTTATACTGCCTCCGCACGTACGTATAACTACGAATGTATGCATGTATGTACGAATGTACCACCCATAAAATCACCACATATAAATCTGAAGAAGATCTGCAGATAACGCGGGCTAATAAAAATTTAGGCGTGATAACAAAATAAGCTCTTTGTGAATTTCCCATAGAAATCCGTCACTTATTTCAATGGAAAGGTGATGAAGCACGTTCGCGATCTCGAATCTCCGGCGATGTCAACGGCAAAAATATTGTTTCGAATTGTATTCTGTTAACTATTTTCACCGCATATAAATATAATAAAAAAAAAAATACTAAAAAACACGAATTTGAATAGAATCGTATTCAAGGAATAAATGAAATGAAAATGTTCATCAACAGCGGGATTTTCAAAGAGGAATATAGGCGTCAGTTGTTGGCATCCTTGAGCGGTTTGTAGAGAATACAGGGTGTGCATATGACGAAGTTATGTTGAGTTTTTATTTTCGAGTAGTAACCATGATTTCACTAGCTCATGGAATTGGACTGGGCTGGCTGTCGCCCATGTTGCCCAAATTACAATCGCCTACTGATACTCCGATTGATTTCACCGTCAACGTAGATGAGTCATCATGGATTGGAGCATTAATAAGTGTGGGCGGAGTAATAGGAAATATCACTTTTCTTTTGATATTCGACCGTTGGGGACGTAAAGCAGCTATATATGGATTAGCAATTCCTCATATGGTATGTATAACCCATTTACATTACTTGCATATGTTCTAAATCGGAAATTTTAAGTGCCTGTGGATGCTTTTGTACTTTGCCGAATCTGTCGAATACCTGTATGCGGCACGAATATGTGGTGGCTTAACGGGCGGAGGAGTGTTTATAGTCATACCAATATTTATTAGTGAGATTGCGGATCCATTGTAAGTATAAACTATGATGTTGATGATGATAGTATAATAATAAGAATCAAATGCAGAGCAAATATTCCTAAAATGCTCAATTTCAAGGAGTAGCTAGAAAATCGTATATAGCCACACATTTAAATGAAAATACGCATATACATAAAGTATAGTACAAAGTTCATTTTGTTAATTTTCACACAATGCCGGGAGTTATGATTGTTTCTGCAATTGAGGCTCAAAGTAAATAACACAATACCTGAAAAATATGCCGGAGGAGTTTATGAGATGTATTGGAACCCTTGTCCTACTCCTACGTAAAGCCATATTGTATAGTTTTCACAAATGAATAATTGTTGTTTGAAAAAGAAAGCTGAAAAAACAAGAACTAAAAACAAGAAGGGAGATGCATTTATATGGGTGCTATACGAAGACGTGAACCTGCATACGCAATTTTTTGACATAGGTTGTAGTACCCATTACGAGCATCAAATACGAAATTCGAAACAATTCCGAATATCGGGATGTATCGCTATATGGGGGCCATACAACGACGTGAACCTGCATACGCAATTTTTTGTCATAAACTGTAATACCCATTACGATCTTTAAATACGAAATTTGAAACAATTCCGGTAAAAATTTCGCTATAATCATCCAAACAGCGAATATTGGAGGGTACCTTGCTATGGGCGCTATTCGATATCGTGGACCTATATAAACAATTCTCTTCCAGGGGGGTAAGGTACTCAGAAGGTGTAGATTTTCAGACAATTCCATTGAAAAATTTGGCTACAGTCATTAAAATGCCGAATATCGAAAGGTACCGTTACATGGGAGCTATACGTTACATGGGAGCTATACGTTACATGGGAGCTATACCGACAAAACACCGATCTGTGCATTGGCTTTGCAGCTTCTTATCTCAATTCGTTTTGACTTGAACGTGATTACAAGGGACGGAAAGCCTGCCAGACGGTCTTCGTCTTAGAATTTTACGCTGATCGATAATATATGCAGGGTGAGATAAAAGAACTGCAACAAAGCCCGACACCATAATTTTTACATTTTTTGTTGTTGTTCGGTTGGTCACCTTTGGCACGAATTATGGCCTTCAAACGGCCAATGAAACCGTCACACGCTGCCCGAATGTTAATCTGCGGGAGCGCTTGCTTGAGGTGATTGACACTTTGGTATTTTTTAGTGCCAACCTTGCTTTTCAAAATACTCTAGACACAATAGTCCAGCGGATTGCTATCCGGAGATTTTGGTGGCCATTGTGCGCTAGAAATGAAGCGAGGAACCTCAATTTGTAACCATTCTTGGGTGGCGCGTGCTGAGTCTTGTTGGAATGTCCAAGGTCTGCGGCCAAAATATTTGCGTGCACAAGGCTTTAATACACCCTCCAGAATATTTTCGCGATAATATTCCGCATTTATTCTGATGCCACAGTCGATTAATACGACAGCGAACATCGGCTGTTATGGCGGCCCACACCATCATCATGGCCGGCGCTTGAGTTGTGGTGTCCAACCGAAGGTGCACTTTTTTCAGCTGGCCTTTTTGGAAATTTGGCAAGTAAACACGATAATTTTGTTTGTTTACAAGCTGCTGGACAACAAATGTGTTCCATTGGAGAAACCCGAATTCGGCAGTTCACCACTTTCGGCCAAGCGAAGCAACTCTTTAGCACTTTGGAGTCGATTTTCTTTCTGTTGCGGTGTAAGTTCTTGCACTATGTTTGCACTGCTATGGATGAAGTTAAATTTATTTTGCACCAAAATCATTCCCACTAAACACAGCGACCCATTCTTATAATTATAACATTTGATGATTTTCCATATAGAATCCGAGGAAGACTTACCTCAATATTCTCGCTCTCCTTGAATTTGGGCATACTGTTTGGTTTCATTGTGTCTTCGTACGTGCACTATCACATAATTCCATTGGTGGTTTTGCCGTTGCCATGTCTGTATTTAGTAGCCGCAATTTATTTTCCCGATACACCACAATTTCTTTTGCGAAAAGGTCGATGTGCGGAAGCTCTCAAATCATTTTTATTTTACAAAAATATCGCATGCAATAATAAAGTCTCTGTCAAAGCCGAAACCCAACGACAGTTTGACGATCTGAAAATGTTAATTGAGCAACAGCAGAATCAAAATGCAAGTATAAGCAGCAGCGATTTTCGTAAGTATCCGAATTGTCTTGTCAACTCCTCTACCAATTAGTAATTAATTTCTCCGATTTCCTATTCAGTTAACAAAAGATCCATGTTCGCCATATGTTCGGGTGTTGTGCTAATGCTGCTGAATATGTTTTGCGGCTCTTTCGCATTGGTCAATTACATGTCAAGCGTATTCGCCGCAATTAAGTCCGAGCTGCATCCTGATGTAAATACTATAATTGTCGGCGTGGTACAAGTCATTGGGACATATACGGCTACGATTCTGGTGGACCGATTTGGACGCAAAGTGTTATTGCTGGTCTCAACTTCCGGCATGGGTGTTGGTCTGGCTGCTTTCGGAATTTACGCTTTCTTTGCCGAGGAAACAGAAGCCGATCTTTCATTCTACAGCCACTGGTTGCCACTCGTATTGATGGCGTTCATAATATTTATAGCTAATGTTGGAATTCTATCGGTGACAGTTGTTGTGTTGGTTGAAATATTACCCTCAAAGGTGAGCAATTAAACTCAACGAATCAGAGTTTGTGCGGAGCCACTGGCAATGTTAACAATTTTCGTTATGTCTTTTTAGATACGATCTATTGCATCCTCGTTTTGCCTGGCCCTCCTAAGCCTGTTTGCATTTATATCACTTCGCATATTTCCCCTTTCGATGCACTATTTTGGATTATCGGCTACTATGTGGTTTTGTGCCACCATTTGCGCCTTTGGTCTATTTTACATTTCAATATTTTTGGAAGAAACAAAAGGAAAGCCAATGGAAGGGAATTAGACAAATTTTCGATATTGACCTGTAGGTATGATAATTAGTACATTTTCACGTATATATGAAATAAAACAATTAAAAAAATGGAGTTTGGTGTGACTCTGACATGAGGGGACACCAAATTTTATTTCTTATTTATTTTATTAATGTAGCGAGATTACCATGGAAAAATAAGTGAAAATCTTACGACGTTTAAGAATTTGTGGATTTCATCTACCACGAACGCATAACTGTGTGGAAAACCCTACCTACACCACTGTATATGTTTAGCAATTGTACCGGTAAAAAATATATGGTTTTATTGGGAGTTCGTATTAACTTATATTTGGGAGCTATATCCTGATCTGCAATGATTAAAAAAAAAAACTGACGGAGATGTTGTTTCTACTGCCTTTGACACCTCGTAGCAAATATCCATCGTAGAATTAAAATATATATATATGTTGGGTTCATTTTCTATACATATATATATATATATATGTATGTATATATATATATATATATATATATATATATATATATATATATATATATATATATATATATATATATATATATATGTATTCTTGTGAACAAAATGCAGGTCGCATTTATTATCCGATTGAGATGAAATTTTGCAAACAACATTTGTTTGGCCCAAGGACGAACCCTATTGAAACTGGAGATAATCGGTAAAAATTTAGATATAGCTCCCATATATATCTTCGTCCGATTTGCCTTTTATTGTGCACCAAACGTGTAATATCAGCCCGAATAGTATGGAATTTTGCACATACAACCAAATTAGGCCTGAAAATAAGTATGCCAAATTTTATCGAAATCGGTTCAGATTTGGATATAGCTCCCATATATAACTTCGTCCGATTTACAATTTATTGTGCACCAAACGTCTAATATTTGTCCAAATGGGATGGAATTTGGCACATACGACCGAATTTAGTCTAGAAGGTAGTATGCCAAATTTGGTGAAGATCGGTTCAGATATAGTTATAGCTCCCATATATATTGTTCATCCGATTTATTGTATTTGTTACCCACAGCCGTAATATGCACTCCGTAACAACGATATTCAGGGAAATATATCAAATACAGCTCAGAAATATCTTTGCCAAATTTTATCGAGATCGGTTCAGATTTGGATATAGTTCCCATATATATTTATCCGATTTCAAATTAATTTCGCACCAAATGGGCAATACAAGTCCGAATTTAAAAGATGAAAATGCTTCGGCATATTTAATTCTTTGAATTTTAAATTATAATTATAATCATAGCGTGTATGATTGAATTCTCCCATAAAAACTTTTAATTATTAAGTGGAGCTCAACTAAATTAGCAAAGTGGTGTAGGGTATCATAAAATCGGCCCCGCCCGACTTTAGGACTTTCTTTACTGGTTTTGTTTGTTTACAAACTGCTGGACAACGAATGTTTTCCAATCGGAGAAAATCATATTCGGCAGTTCACCACTTTCGGCCAAGCGAAGCAACTCTTTAGCTCTTTTGGGTTTATTTTCTTTCCGTTTCGGTATAAGTTCTTGCACTTTTTGGAATTTCAATGACTTTATCCCGAGCTCATTTTTCAATATTTGCCGAATGGAATATTGCGATATGTTCAGCTCACGAGTCATTTTTCGACCACTTCGACGTGGGTTTCGATCAAGTCGCTTCTTAACTTTTCGAACCATTTCTGCTGATGTTGCTGTTTCTTTCTTCCCCTTCCTTGACGTCGGGCTACGCTACCAGTTTCACGGTAAAGAGCGATGGTACGAGACACAAAAGATTTATTCATATTTTGTACGCTTGTAAACAATATAATGAACTGTCACTGAAATAATTTTAACAGCTGTCGGACTAGTGGTTTAGAATTTACAGCAGTCTAAATTTGGTTGCAGTTTTTCATCTCCCTTGTATATATATCCTGCATAAGCGTATTTTTATGACATTCTTATTCACCGGAATTGTTTCAAATTTCGTATGGGTACTACAGCCTATATCAAAAAATTACATATGCAGCCCATGTCTTCGAATAGACCCAATATTATTTTTTATACCCTCCACCATACTATGGAGGGTATATTAATTTTGTCATTCCGTTTGTAACTCCTCGAAATACTCATGTCAGACCCAACAAAGTATATATATTCTTGATCAGCGTAAAATTCTAAGACGATTTAGCCATGTCCGTCTGTCTGTCTGTCTATCTGTCCGTCTGTCTGTTGTAATCACGCTATCTTTCGAACAAATTGAGATAGAAGGCTAAAATTTTGCACACATGTATATTTTGCCAGTAGGCAGGTTAAGTTCGTAAATGGGCCATGTAGGTCCAAGTTATCATATAGCCCCCATATAACTGTACCTCCCGATATTCAGTATTTTGATGATTTTAGCGACATTATTCCCAGGAATTGTTTCAAATTTGGCATTTGAAGTTCGAAATGAATACTACAGCCTAAGACAGAAAATTATCTGTGCAGGTCCATGTCTTCGTGTAGCCCCCATATAACGGTACCCCCCATTTTCGGTATTTTGATGATTTTAGCGACATTGTTTACCGGAATCGTTTCAAATTTGGTATTTGAAGTTCGTAATGGATACTACATCCCAAGTCAAAAAATGAGCTATGTAGGTCCACGTCTTCATGTAGCCCCCATATAACGGTACCCCCCCATTTTCGGTATTTTGATGATTTTAGCGACATTGTTTACCGGAATCGTTTCAAATTTGGTATTTGAAGTTCGTAATGGATACTACATCCTAAGTCAAAAAATGAGCCATGTAGGTCCACGTCTTCATATAGCCCCCATATAACGGTACCCCCGATATTCGGTATTTTGATGATTTTAGCGACATTATTTACCGGGATTGTTTCAAATTTCGCATGTGAAGTTCGTAATGAATACTTCAGCCCATGCCAGAATATTGTCTGTGCAGGTCCACGTCTTAGTATAGCCCCCATATAACGGTACCCCCCATATTCGGTATTTTAATGATTTTAGCTACATTATAAACTGATTTTTCTTCAAGTTTCGCATTTAAATAGTGTAATAACTTATGACAAAAGTTGCTTATGCAGGCCCACGTCGTCGTATAAGCATTCGGTATTCTTAAGATTTTAACAGAATTTTTAACGGATTTTATTTTTTGGAAAATGCCAAACTTGTACCAAATGGTGGAGGGTATTAAAAGTTCGGCCCGGCCGAACTTACAGCTTTTTTACTTGTTTCATTTTTATACCCTCCACCAAAAAAAGTATGGAGGGTATATTAAGTTCGTCATTCCGTTTGTAACTCATCGAAATAATCATTTTAGACCCAACAAAGTATATATATTCTTGATCAGCGTAAAATTCTAAGACGATTTAGCCCTGTCCGTCCATCTGTCCCTCTGTTGTAATCACGCTACAGTCTATACGAATTAAGATAGGAAGCTAAAATTTTGCACAGATCTCTCTTTAGTCTGCAGGCAGGTCAAGTTCGAAGATGGGGTATATCGGTCCACGATATCGTATAGCCCCCATATAACGGTACCCCCGATATTCGGTATTTTGATGATGTTAGCCACATTTTTCCATGGAATTGTCTGAAAATCCACACAAGAAGTTCGTTATGAGTACTTTATACTTCGGAAGAGAATTATCTATATAGGTCGACGATATCGTATAGCCCCCATATAACGGTACTCTCCGATATTCGGTATTTTGAAGATTTTAGCCACATTTATGAACGGAGTTGTCTGATAATCCACACAAGGTGTTCCTTGTGGGTACTTTGTCCCTTGAAAGAGAATTGTCTATATAGGTCCACAATATCGTATAGCCCCCATATAACGGTACCCCCCGATATTCGGTATTTTGAAGATTTTAGCCACATTTTTGAACGGAGTTGTCTGATAATCCACACAAGGAGTTCCTTGTGGGTACTTTATCCCTTGAAAGAGAATTGTCCATATAGGTCCACAATATCGTATAGCCCCCATATAACGGTACCCCCCGATATTCGGTATTTTGATGATTTTACCCATATTTTCCTATGGTATTTTCTGAAAATCCACACAAGCAGTACCTTGTGGGTACTTTATACTTTGGAAGAGAATTATCTATATAGGTCCACGATATCGTATAACCCCCATATAACGGTACCCCCCGATATTCGGTATATTGATGATTTCAGCCACTTTTGTCAACGGAATTGTCTGAAATTCCACACGAGGAGTTCATTGTGAGTACTGTATCCCTTGGAAGAGGATTATCTATATAGGTCCACGATATCGTTAGCTCCCCATATAACGGTATCCCCGATATGCGGTATTTTGATGATTTTAGTTAAATTTTTCAACGGAATTGTCTGAAATTGTACACCAGAGGTTCTTTGTGAGTAGTTTACCCCCTGAAAGAGAATTCTCTATACAGGTTAACGATATCGCATATCCCCCATATAACGGTATCCCCGATATTCGGTATTTTGATGATTTTAGCCATATTTTCCTATGGTTTTTTTCTGAAAATCCACACAAGGAGTTCTTTTCGAGCACTTTAACCCCTGAAAGGTAATTGTCTATATAGGTTCCCATATATCGGCACCTTCCGATATTTTAAAGATTTTAACTGAATTTTTAATGGATTTAATTTTTTGAAAATTTTCTAATTCGTTCCAAATGGTGGAGGGTATTCAAAGTTCGGCCCGGCCAAACTTACTGCTTTTTTACTTATTTTAAATTTTCAAATTCCTTCCAAATAGTGGATGGTTATAAAAATTCGGTGCCATCGAATTTAGCTGCTTGTTGATTAGTAAATCTATGATTCAATAGGCTATTGGCGACTCAAAAAATCTCATGAGATACTAAAGTTAAGTTAAGTAGCACATTGACAAACTGGGTTTATTGAACGTTCTAAACGAAGATCCGCTGAAGAATGTTTCTAAACCAGCAATTTTTATGAAAATGATAAGAAGGCAAAAGATTGACTGGGACAAGTATTGACAAGTAAAATCTTATTGTACAATAAGATATAATTGTACATTGGGCTGGGTAGCCCAATTCTTTTCTTAATTCTATTTGCAGAGTGTTATGATGTAAGTTACTATTTATACTCTGTTGGGAGTAATAAAATAGTTCACGGCATCGCAGGACGTATTAAATTTTAAAAATTAAAGACTAATGACAGAGGATGTTACATTGTTCGATCGATATGAGGAAGTAACCGAAGAAAAAAAACAGTTTTCATTGGGAAAATCCTAAAAATTCGAAGAAAATCAATGCAATGTACTACATGGTTAAATTATTACAAGATGTTCTCTGCATTTTTCAGTAATTTACCTTGTCAAATTTAACTGCATAGAAAGTAAGTTCCCATCTCTGTATATACATAGTCATTTTTTGAAAAAAATGTAAACATGTGATTGCTGACTACCTTCTTAATTCTACCATGGAAAAATACAATGGTACAATTATTTCAAAGTGTTCTCATTTCAGATAAGAATATCCAGCTTGCATAGTTCTGTAATTTACCTCTTATGTTCTGAAATTATTCTTTGTGCTTAAATTCGTAACTCTCAAATCAAGATGGATGCACGATTCCTTTTCATTTTATCAACAATTTTCATATGAAAAAAATTTTTGTGTAGACGTCGATGAAAATTTAGATGAAAATGGGAAAACATTTTCAATGAAAATTTTAATAGTTGTTACGTGCCACCTGCTTCGGCACTATGGTGTTGTGGCCGCTAGCTCAGGAGCCATGTTCAGGGGTTGGTTCCATCCCATACACCAATAGCCTTGGGGACGAACAATTAAACAATTAATGGATAAATACAAATTCTACATAACACAAACACTACGTACACCTGGAACAAAGGAGTTTGATATTGCCACTCCCACACTAGCCCGCCCAACCTTGACCCTGAGATCCTACATAACTGTCAATTTTATCAGGGCCCCGTATTCCACACCCACTCCCCTCAGTACAATGTACACCAAATTCACTCTCTCATGAATGAACTAGACAATCATGATTACACAAACAATCATATTACGAACAATTTATTAATATATAAGATTTCCTTAAAATAGAACAAACAAGCTGAAATTTGAAACATTAACTATCAGGATCTCTTAGTCATTGTTTGAGGAGTTCATATATATCAGACCACCCTTCATTACTTCAGTCAACTAAATGTCACCAAATTTTGGACTTTCTAAGTTATGCAATTAGTACCTGCCTAAACGAGCTCTCTTAGGTGGTGAGGGACCCGCAAACTGGTCCACAATATTCAACGGAACCTCAAAAAAAATCTTGATTATAACACTCAAAGTAATTTGGGGTAACCCTACACTCCAATTTACTTATAAAATTTAGAATAGTTAATGTCCCTCACAAAAACAAGAACATTTATGCTGGACACAAAAAAAAACACAAATAATAAACTTAGACAACACAACTTAACCTAAATATATTATCTTAATTAAAAATTTGAATATTATATTAGTTCTTTCTCTTAATTTATATGAATTTTTCTGCCTTTTGCTTTTTCTTAAAATTTTATGTAATGGAATTTCTCCTTTTTTCTGTTGCAGGGTCTCCCTCCTGGTTCTGGTTTTTATTTTATGCCAGTGGTTGTATCAAACAAGCGGTAAGTTTAATAAATAACTTTGTTACCTGGCTTTTTGCATTCTTTAGTACAACCTGCTTTGTTCTTTTCCAGGATCACTCTTCCGCGACCTCGTCCACCAGGATAAAGCAGAACCCGGATATCATGGATCAAGGGAATTGGTGTTATGGAGGCGGTTGCTGGGGCCTCAATTTTGCGTTGTGGTGGTTGCTGTGGCCGTCAAAGATGGGCTGACCTCTCCGCTTTTGTTCGCCGAGGAGGCCAGTTGATACCCTCGAGAAATTTAAATTATTTTGGCGAAACACTGAAAGACATAAAAGCACACAACACAAAAACACTCATATATCTACACAATTATAATTCATACAAGGATCACTTACAATCAATTACTAACGCCTTCACCATAAATAATAAAATAAATATCGAGGCTTTTATTGCCTTAAAAAAAGTAATTTTTATTTTGAAATTTGGCAGGTTTTAATTTTTTTTTACTTTTATGACCACTATTTTACTGTCGCACCACTTGAATAATAAGGGCGCGTTTTCCTTTTTCCCCCTTTTATACCTACGGGAATGACGCGGCATTTTTCCGCTTTTCGGCTTTTCCTTAATTTTTCCTGACATTTACCTTCTTTATGATACCGACCTAACGAGCCCTTACAATATCGCAGGTGGTATTTTCGATTAATTTATCTACCAAATAATCGATCCAAATACAACACTGGCAGTGGTGGCAATTCTAATTACCATTGGGACAGAACATTTCCGCTTCATTTTTTAAACACGGGTTGCTGCGGTTTGCACGTCGCGGATGTTAGCTAAAAAAAACATCAATTAAAAATTAAATAGTGCCCACCACGCAACAAAACTTCACCGTTTCTAGGCATCTGCAAAAGAAACGGTGATGTGCGTTTGGTTTCGCCATCGTTTCGTTCGTTAGAATTACCTAAAGTGATAGTGATTTCAGTGTGATAGCAAGACACATATCCAAGTATTCAGAAATCCCATTTCTGCAAAAAAAAAAAAAAAATCTGTCGATCCTTCGCCCTCGGACATTGTACCGCATTTTCCTGAAGGTAAGCATTCTTATTTGATTGTAGGCTCATAGTTAATTTCATGTTTTCCTATTTTTTTAGGTACTCTCGCTTGAATTTGTCAATGAATGCTTGGCGAATACATGGTTTTTTTGCATGTGTGTGTGTGTGTTTGTGTTCGTTCATCGCAAAAACCAAACCAACGGTAGTTCAGCGGAATGCGGTTTTATGGTGGCGGTTTGCACACACACATGAGAACACATTTCATTGAGGCGTCATTTAAATGACATTGAAAAGCAAACAGAACAAAAAGAAAACGTGTATGAAGAGTCGGTATGGTGTTAACTTGCTGCATGGCGTGGATGGCAGCGCTGCCGCTGTTGCCATTCCGTTTACATCGATCGACAAGCAGATCGTTTCGCTCTGCTTTTGTTCAGCCACATGCACGCGCAGGTATATTACGTTCCTTAAACTGATAATAGCTCTTACCCTTTATTCACTTATATTTCAATATTAATTATATTATTATTTTTTCAGGCCATGCTTGGTACTTTATAAACAGACAAATTCGTGAAATTTTGTGTATAAATAAAGTGAATTTAACCAATATTCTTCGACACTAGTGAAAGGAGGCTGAAATTATACAGGCTGAACCACATAACTTGACGTTGATGTCTACAGTAATTTGGAGGACATTATTAGCATCTCAGGTATGTCGTACTTTTTTTATGAGTTTATTGTGTGTACCATCTCAGTGAAAATTTAAATTGTTTTGTATTCTCCGGAAAAAATCGTTATCAACACAATATTAAAGAAATATTGTACCTCACACACTTAAAATTTTTTTATGTCGTGCAATTTCTAGACTTTGTATAATAATAGGATTCTGAATTTGTGCAAGAAGAATCTTCACGTTTCCAAAGAGACTTCTGGAATATATTATTTCTCTGAAAAAATTAGTATTGACATGAACTACCTGGGGTAGAGCGAATATGAATCACATGTCCCCATATATTTTACCTGCGTAATCACAAAACAATTGCCGATGAAAAAATAATATAAATTTTGTGATAATTCATCTCATATTGAAAGTAAATACTTTTTCGATTGCTATCACCCAGGGTGCAATGAGTAGGTAAAAGAAAAGTGTTGCATCTAATTAAAAAAAATTCTACGGAATAATAATGAATAATTTGAATAATTACGGAAAATAATTGAATATTTGCGGACAACCATTTCTTCACATGATGGAGAAAATTAAAAAAATTTTTTGTGAGTTACATTGGACATTCAAATCTAATTGTCTACGCTTTGATTTAGAGGTCTATTATATTACATTTTTATTTGTATTTGCTGATCTATTAGCGCCGGTTATGGAATCCTTCCCAATTGATGATAAAAATGGTAGAAAAAATATGAGGGTAAAATGATGATAATTGAAACCCTGTAGATTGAATCCCTGTTTCATTTAGAATAGACATGTCTTAGTCCCAACGTGGGGAACTCCCACGCCCTGATTTTATGTCTCAAAAGCCGGGCTAATCTAAATCGTCTATAATTGGATTACAATAGTGAATTATAACAAATATTTTAATATTCCTAGATAACTAAATTTCATAATTTCGACATAATTTCCTAAAACCAGGATTGCCTTATATATATTTTCCACTAAATTCATTCCGCTTCCATGTTTACGCAAAACATTCACAAATGACACAATAAGCACGTATATAAAAACTCAACGCAACACAGATAATCTAATATTGCACTAAAGTATTTTTTTACAGCTTACGGTACATTTGCTCACATTATTGAATACATATATAAACAAAAGAACATCGTGTATAAACAAAATTATTGCATCATAGATTAACTCTGCTTAATCTAGTATTGCACATAAATTATCTTATCACAGCTTGTTATACTTTTGTTTATATTTTTATATCCTTTGCGTGGAAATTACCAAGTGGTTTTCCTTGGAGCGTTTCTAGCTCATACATATTATTGCCCACTGGTTTTACTACCCTACATTTCAGGAATTTCTTGCAGAACTTCGCATTGATATTATTTTTGAAGTCTGAAAGGGTATGATTTCTCCTATACACTTCCTGTCCCGGTAGAAACCTGACAATACGTGCTCGTTGGTTGTACCTTTTCGCACTAGATATATAAGCTTGGTGTGTGTTTTCTTTTATTCTCTCTCGCATTAATTCTAATTTATCTGATCGATTTATTTGATCAATTTGGTGATCAGTCAGGGATTGGAGTTTTTTTGCCAGTTTGTAATCGGTTCCACTAGTGAACATGTTATAACCAAATAATGCGAAAAAAGGATTGGTTCCAGTTGCTGAATGTACTGAGGTTCTCAATGCTTGTTCGATTTCCGCTAAATAAAGATCCCAATCCCGGTGATCGTTTTCAACATACGTTCGTATGGCGGCTAATACTGACTGATTTACTCGCTCTGATGCGTTAGATTGCGGAGAGTAATAGGCTGTGGTGATGTGGGTGATTTTGTAATCTTTTATCATATCCGCGAAAACTTTTGAGGCGAACTGTTTTCCGTTGTCGCTGTGTATGATCTCGGGTACCCCGAATGTATGGAAGACTTGATTTTCCAGAAATTTTACCACGTTATATGCAGTGGCTTCTCTCATCGCGTGTAGGAATGTGAATTTCGTAAAATGATCGACTACTATAAAGATGTAGGAATTGCCTTGTTTTGATCTGGGATACTTTCCCAGAAAATCTATATACAACTTCTGGAAAGGTCTCTCAGTTATAACTTCGTTGCCTATCGTAGGGTTCATACGCTGATTTGCCGATTTCGTTTCTTTACACGTTGTACAATTTTGTATGAATTGTCGTACCTGCGATGACATTTTTGGCCAATAAAAATAAGTTTTTAATCGTTTTAAGGTTTTCGTTATACCATCGTGGACCGAGCTACCGTAAATGTGTGCTTTCTCAATCAGTACATATGTTATGTCCTGAGGTATCCACAGTTTCCACTCAAATTCCATCATTTCTTGCTCAAAATTTTTGGTTCGAACATAGATTTTATCATTGTCGATTTTTAAATCCGGCAAACGATCTTGGTTTTGTTGTATGGTGTTGCGCAACTCGACATATTCTTCACTTTCAAATGCCGTAGTTTCGAAATCCAATACATTATCGTCACACAATTCCTCTACAACGACATCAGACTCAACCGACATTCGAGACAGTGTGTCCGCTACAACATTTTCCGATCCTTTCCGATGTTCAATTGAAAAATCGTACGCCTGAAGTTGAAGTGACCATCTCGCCAGTCTTCCACTTAAATCTTTTAAGGACATCAGCCACTTAAGACTGGCATGATCCGTGATGATTGTGAACTTCATAAGCTCGACGTACGGACGGAACCTTTTTACCGCTAAAACTGCGGCCAAACATTCCTTTTCTGTGACGGAGTAATTCTTCTGGGCGGAATTCAGTTTTTGGGAATAAAAAGCGATAGGGTTCTCTCCGCCAAATTCATTCTTTTGGAAAAGTACTGCTCCTATTCCATATTCCGAGGCGTCGCATTGAATAAAGAACTCTCTATTAAAGTCAGGGTGCCTGAGAACCGGTGCGGATGTGAGAGCATATTTTAGAGATTGGAAAGATTGCATCGCTTCCGGAGTCATTACGAATTTTTTTCCTTTTTTTAAAGTATCTGTTAGGGCGGAAGATATGGATGCAAAATCTTTTATAAATCTCCGGTACCAACCGGCAGTACCGAGAAAACTTCGCACTTCCCTCGGCGATTTTGGTGGCGGTATCCTCTGGATAGCGCTCACCTTTTCTGGATCAGTCTTCAACATCCCGCTACCGATTATGAATCCAAGGTATTTCAACTCTCGAAAACAGAATAACGACTTTTTGAGTCCAATCGTCAGATTCGCTCTTTGCAGGCATTCAGCTACTTCTTCCAAAATTCTGACATGGTTCTCAAAATCATCAGCTATAATCAGGAGATCATCCAGATATATGAAAACATTGGATTTTAGTCGTCCTGGGATGACCTTATCCATCAACCTGCATAATCTTTGCGCCGCATTGCAAAGCCCAAACGGCATGACCCTGAATTGATATAGTGGTCGACCTGGTACTGTAAAGGCGGTATATGGCTTCGCTTCTTCTTCCAACTCAATCTGCCAGAAGGCATACTTCAGGTCGACACTACTGATAAAATGGGTTTGATCAATTCGGCTTAATATTCCATCGATATTCTGTAATGGATATGCATCCTTCACCGTTAGGGCATTTAGTTTCCTCGCATCGAGGCAGAAACGATTCTTGTTCGGTTTTCGCACGACGGTAGTACGATTACTCCATGGCGAATCACTCTCCTCAATAACTTTCAGAGCGAGCATTTTATCTATTTCATTATATACGATTTCCTGTACGGCCGGCGATAAAGGATAATGTCTATCCTTGACAGGATTCGCATTCCCTACTAACTTAATTGCATGTTTCTCTAATTTCGTACAACCCAGTCCATTTTTTTCAAACGTTGGGAACTTATTTATTATTTCTTCTAGGCGTCTACGTTGTTCCCCTGTTAGTTGGTGCATATTCTTATTTTCGTTGGTCGAGGTTCCACGCATCTGCTCTTGTAAGTCCACGGTTATCTCGTCTATGGGAAATATTTCTGGGGCAATATTAAATAATTTCCAGAAATCTGCTCCTAGATAAAGATCTTGTTCTAGATCTGGGCATAGATAGAAACGCATTTTTAAGAATTGTTGTTGATATTCTACCTCTACCTCTATTTTGCCCACTATGCGATGGGTTTTCCCTGACGCCGTACTTACATTCGTGTCCTGTGGATCAACAATAATGTTTAATTCCTCAACTATTTCTCGGCAATGCTTCCCTAGTATTGAAACCGTAGCCCCAGAATCTAATAGACCCTTTATCTCTTTCCCTTCGATTTTAATGCTAGCGTATGGTCTAGGATCCGTTCTATATTTGCACCGGATGACGGCTTCGGATATCAATTTTTTTAATTCTTTATTTTCTTTATGTCGTTGCCTCAATTTCATTATCCTCATTCTACTTTTCATATTTTTATTTACCCCTATGGATATTGATTCGGAATTATTGCGAGATTCCTCTTCCTGAAAAATTTCTGCTCTTTTGTTTTTATAATGTCTCTGCCTGAACTCAATTGGAAGATAATGCCGAATTTGGGAATAGTTATTGACGATGGTCTCAACTAATTCTACAGTGGGTTCGTCGCAGCGGGTTGTTCGGAAGAACGATGGTTCCCCGCTAGAACCACGTTCTTTCTCACGTTTCCCGCTTTGCAATTTCCACATTTGGGTGTTATGGTATTTTGCCTTCCACACTTAAAGCAAAATAGTCCTCTTTGGGACGACGGACAATCCCTAAATCCATGACCCGCTATTTGGCAATTCCAACAAACAATTTGGTTTAGGGCCGAAACATCTACTAACTCTTCCGGTTCTACCAAATTCGGATATTCTATTTCTTCTTCTTGCATGGCGTGTACACGTATGGGTCTGTTATGGTTGGTGGAGGAGCTTGAGATAATGGGTCGCGTCGAAAAAATGTCCTCTCAATTTCCAAACACTCCACTCTTAGCTGCTCTAATGACGACACGGGCATCGAGTACACAATACTCGATAGATTCTTTCTCAAATTTTTCTTAACCAAAGAAATAATCTCGTATTCTGAGACTGGCCTTTCCAGTTTCGATCTCATTAGATTTATTTCATGAAAGAAAGCATCAATGGACTCGGTTGCCCCCTGTTTCCTTTCTAACAGATCCCGCATCGATTCAAATGTTGTTCGCCTTGTCTTGAATCTTTCATTTAACCCATGCTTTAAGGAATCCCAATCGTTAATGTTGTTTGACCTCTGTTGGAGCCAGAACCATTCATAGGCTGGACCGGACACCAAAATATGGAATTCATTTAAAATGTCTTCCCAAGCTAGTTTGTAATGTTGTTGAAAGTATTCCAGCCGGTAGATAAAATCTTCCACCGACAGACTGTTTGGTTTCCCTGAAAAATTTAATCCAAAACGTTCAACTTTTATTCCATGGATGCCAGTACTAATCACGGATGGAATCACAGTGCTTCTGCGATTACCATTATTAACATTATCTCTATGTTGTGTAGGGAACTCATCTGTAGGGTTTCCCGGGGGGTTCGGTAAAGTATTTGGTATTGTTGGCTGATTTTGGACATTTAT